ATTAGATTAGGTTTGAAATGTTATTATTATCATTAATAAACATTATTATACGAGAAAAGCTGACTAAAAAATAACCAAAAACCAATTTAAGTGTCGAATTAAATTTTGGAAAAATAATTTAAAATGACTAATTATCAATGTATATGTGACTAAAAAATTAATTTTAAATGATAGTAAATAGAAGATAATGTAAATTAGATTAGATATGAAATGTTAATAATACTAATAATAAATATTATTCTTAACTTAACAAAAAATAAGTGTCCAATCAAAATTCTCAGGAAATAAAAATTATAAAATTCCTAAAAACTGAAATATAGAATACTAGATACATACTGAGTCTGAGACACTCTCTTTATTTCAATTGTATATAATTGATTTGACTACTTATCAGTAGTGTGCAAAAAGGTTAGATTCAATACATAAATTTACCCTTTACTCTTCACAAAAAAAATTTATAATACTCTTAATTTTTATTTTGATCCATTGAACATGTCAATTTATAAAATTACATTTATTAAATATTTTAATTGATCCATTGAATAGTCAACTTATAAATAATTACATCGATTAAATATTTGTTTTATAATTAAAAATTTTAAAATTATTATTTTAAAAACTGTATTAATCGCATATCAAATCAATATTTTGCATATAAGAATCAAAAACCATAAAAATTGTTATTACCGGTGTATGTGAAATTATTACAAATTGTACAATTCAAGATGCCACAATATTAAGGTTAAAGCCAACACAAAATTTTTTTATTAAAGTTCATGGATTAAATTATATATCCCACCAAAGAAGTTAACTGTTAGATTGATGAAGTTTGTTAAGGAATTTATTTAAAATATTTAAATAAATATTATATATTATAGAGAGAAAAATGAGTTTTCATATTTTATCAATAATCAAATTTTATAGATTAATTATTTTAATTACATAGTTACATATATGATTACAAATTAATGATTTTTTTTTTTTTTTGAGGATAACAAATTAATGAGTTCTAGTTTAATAGTATTAATTAAAGTTTTTCTTTTTTACTTTTTTTTTTTTTTTTTTTTTTTTTTTTTTTTTTGAGGATTAACAAATTAATGAGTTCTAGTTTAATAGTATAAATTTAAAGTTTTCTTTTTTACTTTTTTTTTTTTTTTTTTTTTTTTTTTTTTTTTTTTTTTTTTGGAAGGAGAGACTATTATGCAGCTCATGCTCAAGTTATCTTGCATTTACGAGAAATTGCAAAATAAGAATCATAATCCGTGCTATCCTATTTTGAACTATTTCCATTATAACCATATCAAGGAATTTAAGAACCTTCCAACTTAAAAATATGTGGAAGCATCTTGAATTAATTTATTATAACTAAACTAAAATTTAGTGGTAAAACAAAAACAAGATTAAGGGCACTGACTCTTACATTTTGTTTGGATTAGGTGTGTAAATGAGTCGAATGGAAATCGAATATATCAGTTCAAAAGCTTCGTTTGATGGCATTTAATTTAGTTTGAGCTCAACTCGAAATTCGATAAGCCTGAAAATTTGAGGCTCGAACTCGATTTGTGACTTAAGTTCAACTCAAAAAATTTTTGAGTTCAATGCTTAAAATTCGAGTAAGTGTAAAAGAAATATTATATAAATGTATATCTAATAAAAGTTCATAAGACTTGACAAGTTTTCGAGCTAAACATCACGAGGCTCAAGCTGACTCGAGCTATAAAATATTTTATATATTATCTATAAAATATGGAAGGAAAATAAAGAGAGAAAATATAAAAGAATTTTTCTATTGATGTTTAAATATTTGAGAGAAAAATAAGAAGGGAAAATGATTTTATGAATAGTAGATTATAAATTTAACGTTTACTTTTTTTTTTCAAAAAAGAACAACAAATATGTATAAAATTGTAATTTTAATTATTTTCCTTCCAAATGGGAGAAAATGGCATATGAATCCCATAATTTATTCTCCCTCTATATTTTCCTTAATTCCATATTTTCTTCATTCCCAAATAAGTGAAGGAAAGAAAATTGGTATTATTTTCCTTCTTAATTTTCTTTCCTCTCATATTTTCCACCAATCCAAACATAGTGTTAAAAGTCAATAATTTAATATGTACATAGTGAAAATACATAACAATTATACAATACAGGCAAACAAATTAAATTAAAAAAAAAAAAAAAAACATTTGGCTAATATGTGACCCTTTGTAATCAGTATATTGCAGTGTTAATACTTACCGTTGCTCTTATAAATAACGAGTACAAGTCACACTAGCAGGTAACATCTCTTTATAAAGAAAGCATCGGACTTGATTTTTTATTTTTTATTTTTCGTAAGGCCCCCTTTAACGTACATTTATTTAAAATATAAAATTCTTTTTTATAATTAAATTTTAAAAAGAATTCATCTTTCAATAAATTTGAATAAGATTTATTTATAAATGAATTTTTATTTTTATTATGATAAGCTTGAAATTTTAAAAAATAATAGAATGTTACATAATTTTGTGTTTAAAATAAAGTTAGAATTCAATGCAATATATGATAACAGCTTAAAAAAAAAAAGAAAATAAGAATAAGAGAGATGGAAAAGGAAAAGAAGGCGAGGCTCAATAGCGAATTTATTAAAGGACCTAAAAGAGAGAAGAAAAAGGAGAAATAAAAAAAAAGATTATTAACATTTTAGTTTAAATGTTTAATGGCATAAATTTTGTGAAATTTATTTTTAAATTACATCAATTTATGGAAATTGATTTACTTGTAATCGTTGAATTCATAAAGTTCAATTAATATTTCTTTTTCAAAAGAAAACAAATAATACACACACATGAAATAAAGACTGGACATACTCTTTATTAAATATATGAAATAATTTTGATAAAGCATATGCTAACTCATATATATTTTCTTTAATTTGAAATTAATATTTTGACATTATTAGGTATTGGTAAAAATTATTTAATATTTATAAAAAGGTTTATAAAATAAAAATTACCTTTAAATATGACAAAAAAATCTCAATCAATTTAAAATGACCGAATATATAAATTTACCCCTAAACTTTGTTATTTTAATATTGTGACAACCCCAATTTTTATTTTAACTTATTAAATACTTCAACTTATAAAATCATATCTATTAAATAAAAATCAATCTATTAAAAATATATTAATTTTTAAATTATTTTATTAAAAATTTCAATTGCAAATTAGATCAATTATTAAAAAAGCCTATTAAAAAGCTAAAATTTATATAAATTATTATTTTAAAAATTATATTATATATAAGTTGATATTTCATGTATAAAAATTAAAAATTTTAAAAATTATTAATGTTAATATCGAAAATTATATAATATTACTTAAATTTATAAATGATTGATCGTCAAATAAAGAGTAACAACGTTAAAGTTGTTAGGTTCCGTAATTTAAAATGGGAATGTTAGCTGGTCACCCTAATAAGTAGGCTTGTAAAATAGAGATGAAAGGACGATTTGACGATTTAAGGACAATGGAAGGGATATGTTAGGTTTTGTTGCAGGCGAGTGGGACCATGGGCCATCATTGTTGTAGGACCCACATAAAAGATGGAAATATTAAATTAAAATTGTCTATACACCGAGTAAGTACTTGTTCACATGTATAACCGGTTCATTGAACCGCCGGTTTCGATTCACGAAATCAAAAGTTTAAATTTTTAAAATATTAAATCTGAATTGGCTCTTGAATCATCGATTTTTGTCCAATTTTGATTTCGGTCTGTTTCAGCGCAGTTTCAATGAACCGACGGTTTCATTCACAATTTCCGGCGATATTTGCTTTTTTTTTTTAAATTGATTTTAATGTTATATCTTTCTTTTGTACATATTAATATGAATTTAAAAAATATTGGTAAATTTTATTTTAAATAAATTTTAGAATGCTTATACTCATATAGGAATAAAATTATATAGGAATAAAATTAATATTTTTATAAATAATCAATAAATTATCACTATTTTTTATAAAATAATCAAATAAATTATCACTTTATTATTATTTAAATGTTATTAATTAAATAAATTTATAAGAAAATTTTAAAAAAAATGCTTAAATTATAAGAAAATTTTAAAAAATGCTTTAAAAGAATGTAATTTTAAACTTAACAAACAATTTAAAAGGGTAAAAAAAAGTTAAAAATAATATAAGTTTAGTTTCTCTCTTTTTTTATCATTTTACTTTTTAGATTTTTAACTTTTAAAGTAAAGAGTATTTTAAAAAAAAATTATTAAGTAAAGTTTATCATGTAGTATAATATTGTTGAGACTTTTAGAGATGCATAAAATAGGCTAAGTGATTATCATTTTAAAAATAAAAATAGAAAATTTTCGATTTGAATCAGACTGAAACCATCTGTTCCAGTTCATATTTTAACATTCGCATAATCTTTAATCAGCCCTTGAACCGCCGGTATCAATTTAAAATTTTGAACCGCTGGTTCCAGTCCAGTTTTGATTCGTCTACAGTACGGTTCGGTTCCGATTCAAATCAAACCGGTGGCCATGCCTACTTATTCATAGATCAAGCCAATCGAATAAAATTTTTAAAAAATCGATTATTTTAATTTTTTATGAGATTTACTTGTATATCTTATAGATTAAATATATAAAAATATTTTTTTAAAAATTAAAATAATAATATTTTTTATTATACATTAGTAAAAAGATAAAATAAAATAAAATATATGAATAATTTTTAGAAAATTTATATTTTCTTGAATTTGATATATAGGTAAAATCATGCAGCTAGTATTGGTAAAATAATCTTAAATGGTAAGAAATACACTTATTATAATAAAAAAAAATTATTTTTCACTATTTGATCTATGGATAAGTACATAAACGGGTCCTTTCAGAAAGTTTTGTTTATTTATATATTTTGTTTGTTTTAGCAACGCGGTTAGCATATAAATAATTTTCCGTTTTTGTTTCAAGCCTCAGTAACGGCATTGCCTTATGATTGTATTTTGGCTTTGGCTATCTCCTTTGCCACCCTAATCATATCTCTCTCTCCTCTTCCCTTTGCCTCCTTTTTAAACGCCTCTTTTCTCTTCTTCTTCACATATCATCACCAACTCCCTTCTCTCTTCCTTTCTCTTATCTATATCCATGTCTAAAGAAGGTTCTGAGCATATAGAAACCTTCTTATGGGAAAACCAAACATGGGTTTTTTCCAATTTGGATAACAATAATGATACTGGTAATAACAATTCAGGCGGTAGACAGCAGAAATCATCGGTAGCTGAGACAAAGAAGTTGCAGGTTTCAAGAACTAATAGCCAGACAGATCAAGGAACCACGTCGTTAAAGAAGCGAGGTGGCCGAGGAGGGCAAGTTCAAAGAAATTCTACTTCTAAAGGAAGTGAAGATAGTGATGAGGCTAATAATAAAGAAGATGGTGACCGCGGTGGTGATGGTGGTGGTGGTGGTGGTGGAGAATCAGATCATGAAATACATATATGGACAGAAAGAGAGAGGAGAAAGAAGATGAGAAACATGTTTGCTAATCTTCAAGCTTTGCTTCCTCAACTTCCTTCTAAGGTAAATTATATTAGCTACCTAGGGTTTAATAACCATTTCTTTGATCTTCTTCTCAAGTTTTTATGCAATTTTTATCTCAAGTTCTTATCTTTAATTTTTTTTTTTTTTTTTTTTTTTTCTTATCTTTAATTTTTTTTTTTTTTTTTTTTTTTTGTAAATTTTGTTTTAAAAAGAAAATTAGTTTATTTTTTTTTTTTTTTTTTTTTTTGTAAATTTTGTTTTAAAAAGAAAATTAGAGAAATTTCTGTCAGATTTGAATTTTTAATTTTTTTATATTAGAAAAGAAACATTCGGCAACTCCGCTTGTCATTCAGTTTTGAAGAACAAGCTATCAGCATTTTTATCTTTAAGAAAAGAGTGGGTGCCCTTTTAATACTTGAGTTTTATAGCTAAAAGTGAATCTTTTTTGTTTCCTTCCTTCACAGGCAGTTAGAGAGTAGCTAGGTTTCCCATTACTTTTCTTTTTTCTTTTTTTCTAGATATATCTTTTTTTTTCTCATCAAATTAACAATTTTTGAAACTAATTACTTTATTTTTTTTTTCAATAACATGGCAACATATGCATGAATAATATAATTATAAGCACTTAGAGGGTTTGAGCTCCTGGTTTAATCTATTTGTTAGTTTCTTCTTAAGTGAAATCTACAAAAAAAAGCTTGGTAAGTTCAAATGTCTAAACTGCACTAAAGTTTTGAAGGGTGAAGGTATAGATTAAATGTGTATAGGTTCATTCATGATACATTTATTGTGAATTTCTTTCCGAATTTATGGATCTCTATCTTTATTGCAAGAGAGAGAGATCGTAATCTAACATTATAAGATCTTCTAAACCCCAAATTGAATAGATAAAATTTTTCTAGATGGCAAAATATGAATAATTTGTCATTTAATATATATTAAGGGTCAAGTTTAAGAGAAGGGATAGTGATTGTTCCTTATCTTTCAATTGATTTATGCCATAAAAAACATATAATCAACTAACAAATTAAATTTAAATTATATATGTATGTTCATTATGCAATTTTTTATGGATTTCTTTCCAAATTTATACTATTGTAAACAGAAAAAAAAAATTATAATTTAACATTATCTTCTAAAATCCCAAATTGAATTTTTAAACTTTATATAATTGTAAAATTAGATAATAATGCTCCATTTTTGTCATTTATTTTTTGAGTATGATCTCCTATATAAATATGCACACACTTAGAAGAACGTAGCTAGTTCTAATTATTACAAAATGTATTATATACATTTTTTTTAATAGATTCATATAATATTACAGATCGGTGTTTAGGGATATTTGTGTATTATCGTTCTCTATTTCATGTATATTTACTGAAATTATTACGTACATTCAATATATTTATATTTTCTAATTCGAATTTAAGTATGGAGTGCATATTTTTATGATAATACTCAAAAAATTTATATTTATTTTGGGAATTTTCCTTACAGGTTGACAAATCAACCATTGTTGATGAAGCAGTAAACTACATAAAAACCCTAGAACAGACTCTAGAAAAGCTACAGAAGCAAAAGCTAGAAAGGGCACAAGGTGGTACAACATTCTGTTATGAGCCATCTATGAGTATGATAGCCCCAGAATATGTAGCAGAAACAAGAGAGGCATTCTTAGCTGATCAAGGAATAAAATCTTCTAATAACTTAACAAATATTTTAGCAACAAAATCTCCAAATGTAGTATTACCTTCCAGGTATCATCATCCCGTACAATTCCAAACATGGACATCTTCTAATGTGGTCTTGAACATTTGTGGTGAAGAAGCACAAATTAGTGTATGTTCATCGAAAAAGCCTGGCCTTTTCACTACTATCTGCTATACATTGGAGAAGCATAACATAGAGATGATTTCTGCTCATGTTTCCTCTGATTGCAATCAAATCATGTACATGATTCAAGCACAAGTAAGTTTTTCTTTTATCATCTGGAGCTTATATAAACCTAGCTACTTGTACTATGTATATAGTCATTTTAATTTTTCCTATTTTAATTTTTTTGATTAAGTTATTATGAATTACACGATGATGACTTTGGTGTAAGGGTAAAATTACTCGACCTTATAACTTAAAAGTTACGTGTTTGAGCAATGGAAAAACCTCTCTTTTAAAAGCTTCGTAAATATGAGATGTTTCGTGCACTGAGTTACCTTAAGTTATTAATTTCAACAGATTATATAAGCAATACAATTGAATGTATTTATCTTCTTAGCATGTATTAATTGAAGTGGTATAAAACTATAAGTTCTTTTCTTGAAATTGTGGATTATCCAAGATTTGGAGCCTAATAATTAACCAAAAAATGGGAAAATTATGAATTACAAGAGTAAAGAGAAATATGGTGCATGTCTTGTACTTGTATTCATATCTTCTTTACCTTATACTTGGAAACTTACATGTTAAATTCTTATAAGCAGGTTAGAGGAGCTTCTGATAAATTTACAGAGACAATTCCAGTGGAAGAAATATACAGACAAGCTGCAGGAGAGATAATGTGCTGGGTGAGTCCATGATCATACATGCATACATACATGTATATGTAGTGAAGTAGCTAGAGACCTAGAGAATCCATGCTAGGGCTTTTTCACCATTTGATCTTACATATAGGAGTTCATGATAAATTATATATATATAAAAATATGTAAGTTTGAGAGATATTATATATACAGTTTTGAAGATTTATACTTAATTACAAATGAAATTTTAATAGTTATATATTAATTTCAACTTCAATGAGTTTAATTCTTTTTCATTATTCTTTCCTTTTGTAAGAGATATTGGATTTCTTTCCTAGGGTTACAAAATTAGATACAAAATAATTGCGGGAAACAAATCCCTCACAAATGTGTGTAAAATGGTGTTTATGACATTTCCTCACTAGTTAGAATATAATTATATGATTTTCTTCATTTTTTCGTAAATAATTACTTGAGAAAGGTATGTCAAAAAAATTATGTCCTTCGCATTTTTTTTTTATTTCTGGGTTTGTGAATTATTTTTTAATAAAAAAGAAACACGTCTATTTTTATTCTGTTAAGCATTAAAAGTTTACTACTTTAACACCGTTATTTCATATTTATGTAAAACCGATTTAATGATACCACGTGTCAATTAAGCATTGAGATCTTAAATGTCAATGTCAATACCAATTAATATTCATTATGATGATTGCAGAATCGCTATTTTAAGATTGCCCAATGCCGATTTCAATTTTGTTCTGGTTTTGGAATTATTTTAAATTTTTTAAAATTCTTTTTAGATTTTTAGCTAGAATAAATAATAACAATAAACATTACTATTGAAAATTACTAAGCCAATTTAATAAAAATTCTTAAAATTTATTTTTAAAAATTATAATAAAACAAAAAAAAAATAAATTGGGAGTTTCTTTAAAAATGTGTTTTTTTATAGTTTTAAAGCAGAATTACCAATTTCAGTTTCCGAAAAAAAAAAAAGAATTAAAACCGAAGTTTAAGTATGCAGTTTCAGTTATAATTTGAAACCAAGAACTACTGACCATAGTTTAGTGTCGGTTTTGATTAGTTTGGTTTCAATTTGATTTTGGTTTGAACCAAACTGTGGTCATACCTACCAATTAATGATATTAAATTCTTAATTATTAATAGAATAAAGCACATCTTTTCTGTCAAAACAAATTTCACTAATTTTAAAGGTAATGTGTGAAATCACATAATCTATTTTTGTATTTTCTTTAGTGAATTAATTTTCTATTATGTGCATTTTTAAGAAGGAATAGAAAATTGATTGAAGTTAATTAACAATAATAATTTTGTTGGCATGATAATAATAAATATTGGGAAGAGAATTATATCAATATAATTGTACACCTAAACATGGAAAATCGGCTGAATGCATAATTTCCTCCTTCTAATTTGAACAAAAAATCTTGTGGCTTCCTATGATTTGCGAATTATGCATTATAACCTTTTATTTCTCTTTTTATATCTATTACAATATACCTCGCTCAAGCTATCATTATATGTGAGTTGTACTCGTTTTGAGCCGGTAAAAAATGGTCTGATGTAATAGTAATTGTCATAAATTAATTCCGTATAATCTAAATAACCCTGCTAAAGATCTGAACAGGTCATGTCATGTCCAAGACAGCCAAATAGTATCCTATACAAAAGCATGATGTCCAATATAGCAAATTAAAAAGAAATTATACAAATCAATAAGTAGATTTCATCTAATACCAATTCTAAACTAACGGTATTCTTCCAAAAAAGAAATTTTAATGTAATGGTTTTCAGCCCAAGTATTTAATGGCAGCCCAAAGCCCAGTTCATTTTTATGGTTATCAAAACTAAAAGGACAAAGCCCATATCTGGTTCGGCGCATACGATACGAGTTCGGCCCATATCTTCTTTCCCATCCCACTATTTTGTAGGTATCGTCTCAACGTTGTTCTTCAAGTTTTAACTAATAGGTGATAACATTGTTCTTCAACTCGTTTTAAGCTAAACCAATCAGATGTTGACACTTAATTATACTCGAGCTTTTAAAAATATAAAACAACAGCATCTCATAAGTAGGCTTGTCAATACTGCTTAAAGATATACTCGAGCTCAAACTTTGAAAACTAAATACGAGCATGGCTTGCTTATAATTTTAGTTTTATAAAAAAATAATTAATTATTTTTTAGGCTTGAATTCAATCTATTTATTACAAAATTAGATAAGTCGTGTAAATCATATATTAATAATGTAAATGGCCAGGATTGGGGTAAAGATAAAAGATAAGCGCTAATCAAATTTTTTAACATCACGTGTTATATTATTTATAAATTTATATATCTGTATATAATTTTTTTGACAGCAAATTTAATTTATTTTATTAATATGTTATAGATCTCATGATATTATCTGCCTCTGTGTGCAAAAACTATAAGATTTTGCAATAGTATTATTTATTTCTAAAAAGAAATACCAAAGTAAATTAAGGATACAAATTGGTGGGCTGGGCCTAACCCACTTTTCAGATTGCGTTTCAACATTTGAAATTTATCCTTGAAATGCTGATTTTAAGAGCAACTCCGGTATAACTGTGGATTGTAGCTTACGTCGCATGTTAAATAGAAGATGTTAACAGTAAAATGACTATAAGTCTATTTATAAATATTAAATTCGAAAGGTTTTTCTAATGTATCTTAATCAGAATAGAATTTTATAATGATTTGTGTATTATTTTTTAAAATTATATCTAATTAAAATAAAAATAAATAAATTGAGCGTGAGAAGTTTTAAGGTGGAAGGAGATGATAGAAAAAGAAAATAAAATTAATAATAAAAAAAGAATTAAATAGCTGAGTCACACTGTCTAACAGATCTTCTGAAAATAGAGGGTATGGTTCATAGTGTCCAACTGTAGCATCGGAAAAGATATTATTATTTAACTGTCTATTTTTCTAATTTGACAACTAAATAAATCACAATCTACCATCCCGTTGGAGTTGCTATAAGAATCAAATTCTGATTAACAAAACTAATGAACAAACGAGAAAAGTTATCAAACCTTTGACTTGTACAACAAAAGTTCCATAAATCATGGCAGGAACAGAAAGGATACCATCTACGTTGCCATAAAGCAACAGTGGTGGTCATGAAGACACCACCCACCTCAGAGTGGAGAAGATGGAGTCGTGGACGGCAGGTAATATTATTGCTTTCAGATCAATTTTTTTTTTTTTTCATTATTTTAAAAACTTTTCATATTTTGTTATTAAATAATTAGTATTATAACATATTTTTTTATTTTAAGCCAAATTTTAAGGATTTTTAAATTTGATTGAAATCAAAGATAGAGATGCAAATCAAAACTTAATATTACAGCACAAATTTTATAATTTCTCAGTAATATAAACATATATTATATTTATACTTATAACTGTAAAAAATGAAATTATAAACTATCCTTTGCATGAAATATTTGTAATTAAATTTTAAAATACATATGATTCTATACTTCATTGAATGGTCAAAGTAGGGCATGATTTCTTTTTCACAATCTCCCTTCACTCCACGACACTCCGTTTTGAATTGTACCCATTAAATTCTTGCACTTAAATTTTTTTTTTTTTTTTTTGCTAAATTGAACCTTTATTTAACTATTATTTTAGAAACTTTTTCTCAAAATATTCTTCATTGACTTGAGCATGGTGTGGCTTATCATTTTTAGTTTGTTTTATTTATTTTTTTTCTTAAAAAAAATCAAAGTGAGTGGTGAATTACATTGAGGAAGCATGGATTGGTGGGTGCCCATATGATTATAATGAGTGCTTCAAAGGGGTTTTTGATTGCATAGAAGGAAATGGTGAAATTGAAATTCCAAATTCAAAAAAGGTTAACAGAAACAATAAATGTTGGGTCCCAAATGTTGCATATCATAGGGGTCATAAACAAAAATGAGTTTTCCTTTTGTTTGTGTGAGCTGTGACTTTAAGTGGTAGGAACTAAAGTTGAATTTGGAGGCATGTGAGTATTACAAGTTGCTATTGCAAAGATTATAAGACCAACCCATGTGAGTGTATGGATTTTATTCCACAAACATGTGACTCTATCATCTCTTTACATCTTATAAATACCACATACCATTGCCTATTTCAATTGTGGGACCTCAAGGACTCTACTTTGCTTTTGTTGCTTTGCATGCCACAATACTTCTGTATTTGAAGGAAAAAAAAAAAAGTCTGTAGTTATTTTTTTTTATATATATATACTTTCACGAGATGTTTAGATCTATGTTCGTATTAACAGTCCATGATAAATCCGATTAATCCCTTTCACTTTAGAGGCAAAAGGGCTAAACTCGCCTTATAGTAATAATTGAAAATAATTTGAAATTTTATTTTTAAAACATTTATTGTACTAACCCATTTAACCTCCACAAATAAAACATTTTTTATTTTATGTTTATTGTTGAATTTGAAAGATACATAGATAATAAGAAATAAATTGTGGCCATCACTTGAAATGGATGGTGCTTGTCATATGGTTGGTTCTAAACTATAGCCCGTGAAGGATATTTGATGATTGGGACTCATTTTCTCCTGATAGAAATTTATTTTTCTTAAAAATAACTTAATTTTCTATATTAATAGAAATATTTTATTCATTATTTGATTGTTTAATTTTAATTTAAAGCTTTAAATATCAGAACATATAAAGATTATTTTTGAATATGTCAAAATAAATATATATTTGCCCGTCTTTTTGTCATGTTTAACAACATCTTTTCAAATGGCTTTTAGTTTTTGATTATTCAATTATTTATAATTTATGTCACATAACATTTATAATGTTTGATGATGAAATATTACTAGAATATCCTACATCTACTAAAACACCTAATTTTACCAACACGACATTTAAATCAAAAAAACAATACATTAATTTACCATATATTATTTATGATTCTTCAAATTTTGCAGGGATAAAATGAATAATTTTATAAATTTTAATCATATGTTACTACAAAAGAAAATCAAAATTAATTACAAGTTACAACAATTTCATTTTTCATCTATTAAAATTTAGAAATTTCTCGACACCAAAATATTAAAAAAATTGATTTGTAAAATTAATTGAATTTCATGTCATAATTAATCATGATCAAGAGTAGTTTTCTAACTAGAATCATGATTGGATTGAAAAATAAACAAAAATCATGACCCAAGAGAGTTACAAGTCGAAACAAGTCATGATCATATCTAGACACTTGAGCAACGCGCAATGATATATATAAGTGTTTGAGTCAAAACTTAGTGAAGATGAATAATAATAATAAAAATGGCTCTTCCATCAAAACATGAGAAGATGAATAATAATTACATTATGACACTTCTTTGCTTTAGACTGCAAGCAGAGGGTATAATTCTACTGAAAGAGAGACAAAATGGGTAGCAGAAATGGTCTAGATTTTAAGGTACAAGGTCCTAATATTTGATTGTGATTTGTAAGAACCTCTTCCTTGGCTTCTTCTTCACCATTTATCACCTGTGGTCCTTTTTTTTTTTTTTTTTTATTGTGATTTGTAGAACCTTCATTTCCTTGGCTTTTCTTCACCATTTATCACCTGGTGGTTCTTTTTTTTTTTTTTTTTGGCTCTACAAAACATTCTACATTGTGACCAACAGCCCTGTTCTAACTAATGGCACAAATACAGAGGCGAAGGAGGTGGCACAGATAATTTTTTTTTTTTTTTTTTGGCTTACACCATTCTACATTGTGACCAACAGGCCCTGTTCCTACACTATGCACCAAATTAAGAGGGAAGGAGGTGGCACAGATAAATAGGTTTGAATTTAAAATATGATTTAGACTTGTGATGAGGTCCATTCATTATTAAAATCACCATAATTTACCGTACAGAAGTTTAAGATTTTTTTTTCTTTTAAACGAGATCAAGAATTCAATATTTATAAATAGAGCAAATACCCACTAAAAACGCTTTACCTCCTATCATATTGACTTTATTAGAAGCACGATTTAATTCTAGCCCAGTGAATTAAAATACATGATAGTCAACACCAAAAAAAAAACTTTATATATTCTTAACTCTCCGCCAATGTGTGATTCTAAGACCATCCCAGGTGATAGGTGTAGTCACAGAATTGGGTAATTTGGTAATTATGGATTTCATTTTCATACAAGGCTACTAATCAGAGGAAAAAGATTCACAAGCCCAAATTAAAAAGTAAAAGCTGAATGCTTTGGGCTTTAAATTTATTACTGGAATTCATTTAAGTTTGTGATGTATATATAAACTTTACAATTTTCTGAAAATTGTATATTATATTTAACCATCAGTCAATAATAAAACTTGATATTTTCTTTCAAAAAAAGAAATAAAACTTGATATGAAAATCCGTAACTTTTTATATTATAAGACAAACATTCAATTAGTTAATTTTCTTTTCCAATTTTATATTTATTATACTAAATTGAGTTTATTTAATTGATTCATTGGTTGAATCGATAAAACGTAAAATAGATCTGGAAATAAATTCCCTAATTAGGTCAATTTTCAAATCATCCAATCATTATAAGATATAGAGAGATACTTATCATTTTCACCTTTCCTGTGTTAAGGCTTATTTTTCAAATGTTTAGACTTATTGAAGCAACCTAGTCTTTCCAAAAACCATGGGCATAAACTGGAAATGTTGTCAAACCCATAAAAAAGATACATTGCTATGATTATTTGGTATGTTGTTATTTGCTTATGTGGAGTGGACATAATGTCAAAATTGCCAACAGGGCATTTTTATGTCAAAATTCAAAATTTTAATGTGTTTTATGACTATTTTTTTTCTTACATTTATATATGTCATGATTGGCAACAATTTCTTATTTTCTTGGTTCGGTCAAGTACAACCTCATTATTACACTAACTCATTGCTTCAATATGTATAATTATGATCAAAATGCATAATGTGTATATATTTGAATTGTTTTTTTTTTTTTTTTAAGTATTAGGGAGGGATTCGAACTTCGATTTATTGTTAGGCTGTACATGCACTTATCATTAGACTATACTTTGATGTGCTATATATTTGAATTGTTAAAATCTATAGAATTTGTCAAAATTCATGGAATTACAACTTCAATTTTAAAGAATTTTAGGGGTGTGTATTGGATTGGAATTGTGTTAGATTTTAAAAGAATTGTTGAGTTTGACGGAATTGAAGGATTTCCTGGGATTTCCACATATTCTATTAGAATTCTACATCGAGTTTTATGGAAGTGGTAAGACTTTTTTTATAGATTTTGATTGACTTTGATGGAATTACAATAATTTTTATATATCCAATCAAAATTAATTTCAGGATCTAATTAAACAAAATAAAAAGTTTTGGAGTCCAATTGAAAAATTAAAAAACAATGGGGGACAAAAAAATAAAGTGCATCATCTTTCCAAAATCGTTTTTTCTTTATTAAAACCTTACCACTGTCGAAATAGTGAAAGACCTGCAATGACCAGTGTTGTCAGCAGCCATTCTGTGCTCCCAGAACAGTCACGATGTGGTCGGAAGACCACGGGCTTCCTATCTCTTGATTGAATGGTGATCGTCTCGTCAAAAAATCGTAAGTTTATATATAAATAACCGAAAACCAGTGACCACTGCTAGCCAAAACCTACGCCAGCCGTTGAAGCTCGCGAAAGGAGGTGGTGCACATCGAAACAAGCCCGATGAACGGACTGCCGCTTGTGGCTCACGAAGCCTGCGATCTGGCCACAGTAATAACAGACTGTATTCTTTAGTTCTTCAACTATTTCAAAACTTTTTTAATTTTTTTATTAATTAAATCATTATTTAATTGAAATTAAAGCATAAAAATTTCAAAAAATAATCAAATTAATTTTAAAAAATTTGCAGTAGCATTAATATTAATTTTTGTTAAAATATCATTAATTATCAACACATGCATTCATTGAAACTAATCCAAGAATTAATACATTATTTTACGCTATAAGGAATATGGATGGAAGTAGTATGGGTATTTTCGAATATCCGCTCCGTTTCAATCCGTTTAAAGAGGATATATGTAGTTATAAATGGGTTTAGAACGGATATAGATAGTGAAATTACCACTCGTAATGGATATGGGTTAGAGTACGAGTATAAATCTTTGGATACCCCTACCCATTAACTATCATATTAAACAAGTTGGGTAGTGGTGCATGCCGGTGCCTTATCGATTATTAGTAAAAAATATATTTTAAATAAATTCGAATTTAGATAATTAAAGATTCGCAGGTGTGGTACATTAAATGAGTTTTGGACACATACAGTAGTAAAAATTTTAAACAGATTTGAATACGGATATTTAAATAGATATTTAAACGGGTATAAAATGGATACAAGTAATAAAATTTTAAATGAGTAGTTTAAAATTCACAGGTATCCGCCCGCTTTCATCCTCATTTAATGAGTGTATTGGATTAAAACTCTGATCGATTTTAAAAGATTTTTGAAATCTTTGGGTTTGATAATGGATTTATGAATGACTCTTTTAATCATACTTAGCACTCTAAAATATTAATAATTTTATAAATTCCTTCCAAATCAAGAACTCAAATTTATATAGACTTTTAAAAAGTTATAATCGAATAACATCAGATTTTTGTAGATTTTATAAAAAACTAAATTGAATACCATAAAATTTTAATACTTAAAAAAAAAAATCTGTTAATCCAATACTTCACCCTATTTTGTTTAGTATACATATAAAATGTATTGACTTCAATTGTATTTTTATAAATAGAAAGAACTTTTAAAAATTTCTCATTAATTAAAATAAGAGATTTGGCAAAATCTCGCGGGTCAGGTAGGATTTTAAAACCCTCCAAAATAAAGGATTATGATCCACGAGGGATTTTGAACAATCAATCTTACTTATTTTATTTATAATTTCCGATCTCGCTTACAAATTAAAGCCTATTTTTTCTCTCTCCCATTGAAAAATTATGAAATTAGATTTTGTCCTTTACATAAAGTGGGGGAAAGCAAAATTTCTAAAAATTTGAATTAATTCAATTTCAAAAATCAAATCAGAAGATATCTCTAAAATTTAAATCTGATTTTTGAGGGAAAGTCTGTGAAATAGCTATTAGCCATTTGTCGCTAATCTATTGCTCTCTGCAAAACCACAAAGTAGCTGAATTTAAATAAAATAATTCAGCAATTAACAAAATTAAAGTTAAATTAAATAAAACAATATCAGATCTAACTTTTCATTTGCTTTTCAACTTTCCTTAATAATAAGAAAAAAAAAAACTTTCTAACAAAAATTCTTTCATACACAATTAGATACACAATTACAAAAATTAATTCTCATCTCTCTATATACCAATCTAGAATTTCAATTTCTTTCTTTTTTTTCTTGTCCCTTTTAATCTAAAAAAAAAAAAAAAGTTCTTTTTCTAAAGAAAAAAAAAAAAAAAAAAGAAAATTATGAATTAGATTTTTGTCCTTTTACATAAAGTGGGGAAAGCAAAATTTCTAAAAAATTTGAATCTATTCAATTTCAAAAAATACAATCAGAACGATTCTCTAAAATTTTAAATCTGATTTTTGAGCGGAAAGGTCTCGTGCAAATAGCTCATTACATTTTGTCGCTAATCTCTATTGCCTCTCTGCAAAACCCACAATAGTAGCTGCGAATTAAATAAAATAAATTCAGGCAATTAACAAAATTAAAAGTTAAATTAAAATAAAACAACTAATCAGATTCTAACTTTTCAATTTGCTTTCAACTTTCCTTATAATAAGAAAAAAAAAAACTTCTCTAACAAAAATTCTTTCATACACAACTTAGATACAAACAATTACAAAAATTAATTCTCAATCTCTCTATATACCTCTAGATTTCAATTTTCTTTCTTTTTTTTCTTGTCCTTTTAATCTAAAAAAAAAAAAAGTTTTTTTTTCCTAAAAAAAGAAAAAAAAAAAACAGAGACCAAAAAAAAAAAAAAAAAAAAAACAGAGACTGAAGTAGGAGAAGAAGAAGAAGAATCAACCATCCATCAAAAGGGAACAACCTCACTGCAAATAAAATCATCGGAATTGGCAGAAGAATCCTCCGGCCACGAGTCCCGAAGCAATTTCAACAACATCTGTGCCTTTCTCTTTGCTCTGTCTGTACAATCGCTCTGCACCAGCAACAAAAGCTGTGTCAATATTCCGGCGCTTACTGCCTCTCTCTGGCTTTGCTCCGATGACGTGCAAAGCGCCAAAAGTGCTCCAGCCGCATACTCCGTCGCTCTGTCTGATATTTTCAATATCTTCTTTACCAGCAAAGGAACTGTTAGCGCGTGCCCTGCAAACGCCGTGCAACCTGTTGGCACTCTGCATAATAGCTCTATAGTAGCCAGCGCTCTCTCTGCGTCACATTTATCGAAATCCGCCAGCCTATCTATTAAAATATCGGCTGCTCCGGCCGAAACAGCCTTGTGCCTTGTCTGCTTCACCAGACACAAGGCAAACAGTGCTTTAATCCCAATTTTGAGTGCGCGAGGATAAGAGATAGGATTTTTTAACATCTCTATTACTCCTTCGAATATTTCGTCTACGCTACTGATTTGAGCGCGAAGATCTGACGATTTTGTTCCGGCAACAACAATTTCAATTAGGGCAGCTGAGTTAACTCGGACTTCAATTGAGATGTGGAACAGAAGATTTACTAAATAATTTATTCTCCCCGAGTCTGAAGCTATGCACACACAATCTGACTCGCTGAGTGGAAACATGATAAGCAAAGCCAACGCCTCGTGGTTCAAATCGGACGAGTTGGAATCCGTACAATTTGCGAAGACAAGATTAATGAAAACTTCGCGTGCGTTATGAGAGGAAATAACAGACCGGTTCTTATCCGAGTCACGAGCGAGACCTCTGAGTCGACGAAGAGCAGAAAGACGAGACTGATAAAGATTCGACTCAGAAGAAGCTTGGTTCAACAAAGACCGAACCAGACTCGGTTCGGCGGGTTGTTTAGGAGTCGGAATACGTTCAACACCAAAAGACCGGTTGGCAACACACCAATCTTGAATTAACCGGCGAAGAGTATGATTAGGGATGAGAGTGAAATCAGTGAGCGGAACACGAGTGACCGGACACGTAGTATTACCGGTAGCAACCCAAGACTCGATGCTGGAACGGTCGTAAGTTTGACCGGTACTAACGGTGACCGGATCACGCATAAGCTCAAGCGAAATCGGACACCTGAAATGGTAAGGTACTTGAACACTTAAATCCAACGGCTCTAAACTCGCAGGCATTATTTGTGAAGAATAAAAAGAAAAATGAAAAAGAAATAATAATAATAATAATAATAATATGTAATATGTACTGAAAGCCAAATCTGAGGAAGTCTGCAAATTCTCTTTCAGATTTGTTAGGCTTTGGGGTTTGGTTTTCTTTCTCTTATATGATTTTGATACCAAACAAAGGTATAAGAGGAGAGGTGGTGGGGTGGGGTGAAGGGCAAGCCACACGTGTGGTGGTGGCAATTTCCTACTTGGAACCTAACCTTAGTTGGATATGCGTGTGAGTAAAAGAAAAAAAAGGGGTTTGGTCAAATGAAATTGTGTGACTAATGGGTCCCACAATTTCAGCCCTAAAATCTAACTCCTGTTTACATCAAACAAGGTAATGTGTGACAGATTGTTTAATTTATTACTGTCTTGAGATTTTGATTGAGCATCATTAATAATGGAGGGTTTTGGGTTTTGCTATTTCATCCCTTCACTCTTTTTTAATTATGTAATTTTCCCTGGATATAAGTTATTTTTTCAAATATCGAATTAAATTCCTAACCTTATATGGATTATTCGTTAATCTTTACCACTACAATCACTTCTTATAATTTCTTTGAAATCATATTATGAAAATCAATTTAAACGCATAGTCGATATCGAATAGCAAATGAGTGTTGATGTTTAGTAAAATCAATAATATATTTTTTTTTATTTTAGGAGAATATATTATTTTTTATTTTAATATTTTTATTTAATATATTAATATAATAAAAATATTAATTTAATTCTTAAATAATATTTAATAAAAATTTATTTTTAATAATTCATAAAGATAGTAAAATATTAATTTGCAGAAAAAAAAAAAAAAAAGCTTCCCTCTCCTGGCAGGCAGACGAGATTAAGGACTTTCTTTGAATTCTTTTCTTTAGCCTTAGAAAAAAAAAAAAAAAAAAAATTAAAACATACATGGTTTTATAAGAAATCAAACACCATCTAAATCAATTTTCAAAATGCTTATAAACTTAGTGAGATATGCAATTTGCACGAGTTGTTTTGATAATTTATAATCTATAAATACATGTCAAAGGTATGTCCTCTCAGTGAGTTGTTTTATTAGTGTATATTGCATTTTATAATTCATATTTAGCGTATTACTAAAATATTTGTTTTCTCGCATACTGCTTTATTAAATTATTGAATTGTAGAAATTATATTGCACATTAAAATTTATAATTCAAATAATTTAAATATTATATAATTCTATATAAATAAAATTTTATGATTCAAATAATTAATATATAGATACATATTATTTATAATTTAATTATTAATTTTAAATTTAATTATTTAATAGTAAAATATAAATTTAATTATTGTTATTAATTATTAAATATTATTTAAAAAAATATAAAAAATAAAGGGAATTAAAAAATATTAATATAAATAAAAAATATATTTTAAAAAATATAAAAATAAAGGAAGAATTAAAAAATATCTATATAAATAAAAAATATTTTAGTTTAATTTAACACATATATAACTTAAATATAGAAAGTTTTACGCAATTTTAAAAAATTGAAAAGAAGTTTAAAATTTTCTGAAGAGATAATTATACATACATATTTTATATATATAATCTAAAAAAAAAATCCTAGCATAACAGAGGACTTTTAGATGACTAGCTCTTCTGCTTGTTAAAATATATATTTTTTTAAATATAGGCATTATTCTTATTAGTTTTTTTTTTAAACTGCAATTTATGATTTTATGAATATCTTATATAAAACCACAAATTACAAGCTAAATACTTATAATCTAGTTGTTGGATGAAAATCAAATATATCGAATATTAGTTACATAACTCAACTGAACCAAACACCTTCTAAATCAATCTTCGAATTGATTATAAATAGAACATTATTGAAATTAGAAATAGGCAAGTACAATGAAAATTCTTCATTATAATTTAATTTAGAATTTAAATTATAATATAACCTAAATTTTTGAGGATATAATTTTTGATGGGATTTCAAGTTGAAATATTGACATCATCGTGTTGAAATTTGTTATGTTGGATATGATTGTATTGAAATGATGATTAATACTATGGTATGATTATAATGTTGTTTCTTATTATGTAATATATAATAAAAATTGATAACTATTTGTTATAAATCGGTGCTATTTTTATCAATTTTGATTGTAGTTTAAAATTGATAGAAAAACTGTATTTATTTTCTTAATATACAGAGATAACTTATCGAATTAAGATTTAAATGTACCGATAATTTTACTAAATTTCCCTTAAAGAGAGATTTTATCTTCATCAACCATACAATAAGATAAATCAAATAGAGAATTGTTCAAAATCTCTTAACATTCATAACCCTAAAATTTCCTTATTATAGTATTATTTATAATTTTCTAACTTTTTATTTATTTTTTTCACGTCATCACTTTATGTGTCCATTATGGATGTTGACGGCAACAACATTATGTTAATACATCCTTTACAGCCTGGTGGTGTGTCAAATCTTTGCTTTAATGGATCAAATGGTAACCTTCTAATCTACAAAGTTTCTACCCTTTAAGCTTTTGCTCCTCCAAAAAGCCTACCAAAAGCTTTTTACCACATTTCATCATTGAAGGTTAAGGTAAAAGTTTTTTTTTTTTTTTTTTTGGTAAAAGTTTTTTTTTTTTTTTTTTTTTTCCTTTCTTTTCTTTGGTTTTTTTTTTTTTTTTTTTCCTTTTCTTTTCTTTGTTGGTTTTCTTACTAATTGTTTTTTTTTTTTTTATATATATATATTTTTGAAGCTCGAGAGAAGAGTGATAGTCGGTTAAAATTTTTTTAATAGTGGCGAATCTAATTAATAAATTCAGTTAGAGATATAGTCCATGTTTACGGTCCGTTGGATAATAATTTTATTAATAAAATTTCATTTTATTATATTAAGATTGCTATTCCTATAGTTATATATAGATATATATCCTACTAAAATAAATAAATTATAGATAAAAGCAAGTTTACTACTACCTTATTTTTTTGGCATACGCATTAAAAGATAGAAAGATATAATAGGGACATCTTCTCTTACGGTATAAATCAATCAACATTTTCCTCTCCAATCAATTTTACTTTAAATATTAATTATTATAAGTTTCAATTAATACATCAATTTTCCTTGAGTTGGGGTTTATTAAATAAATAATATTTGTGTTGATATGATGTATTATCTTTGCTAAAATATATTGAAAATTATTCAAAGAAAGAAGTTAATGTGTTTAGAGAATTAAATTATTAAAAAAAATCAATCAAATGTGCTCTAATTCGTTTTTTCACATCATGTAAAGGAAGTGGAGAGTGAGACGTCTTGACTTGAGTTCTTTGTACTTCACCTATTCCCGTAATGATATTCCGGTTCATTGAATCTTTCATGAATTGAAAAAATTAAAATAATGAATTATCAAACATTCATCTTCTCATCTTCTATATTAGAAAATGAACCTCTTAAATTAATCTCTTAAATTAATATGATTATTTAAACCCAACAATTGTATTCTAAGTGGTTGTTATAACAAAAAATGTCGTGTCATATAATATTATTTCAATTTATTGAGTTTCACAATGAATAAAGAAATATAAGTATTTAAATTATTATTAAGAAAATGTTAATATTCAAAAGATTAAATAAACATTCATAAGGTTTATGTTTTTGAAATAATTCATAAGCTTTGTTTTAAGGTTAAGGTAAATTTGGATTGTTCTTAATAAAGTTTATAACATCTAAATAATATTTTTAAATTAATTTTCATAATAACTAGTAGAATTATGTTTTTTGGAAAAAAAATTCTATTTTAATATTACATAGACTTTTAATATTTCAAAAAAAATTAAAAATGAGATAAATTAAATAGTAAAAAAAAAATCCAGAATAATGCAACAAAATCACATTCAATAATGCTTAAACATAATCTTAAATAATATATTTAAAAAATTGCATTTTGGTGATAGATGCAAGTTTGCTAAATAAAGTATCTTCTTGAGTTCAATTATTATGGTCAAAGACACGAGGGCTCTTTGATGGGACAACGTAATACGACTTTGTTGGTTAGAGGGACAAGCTTTCATGCAAATTGGGGGCCAAGAAAATAAGTCCTAAATTGTAATTGTAGAGAAAGATTAGGGGGTGCAAATTAAAATATGGAAAATAAAAGAATAATTATTGGATTGAAAATTGTCCGTTTATGTAAATATAAAAAGAAGTTGAGTTGGGGGCAGTCAAAGGTCAAAGAAGAACAGATAAAAGAGAGGAATGTGCGGGTCCAGGTTGTCCCTCCGCCACTTTATTCCGGGAAAGGAAGGAAGGAAGAAAAAAAAAAAAAAAAAAGGAAAGGAAGGAAGGAAGAAAAAAAAAAAAAAAGAAATATATTGGTTTTTGTGGATAACAATTAATAAGAAGGAAAAAAAAAAAAAAAAAAAGAAATATTTGGTTTTGTGGATAACATTAATAGAAGGTGGTGGTGGTTTCGTGATGGAGGTGGGTGTGGGCCCTACCTTGTAAGTGGACGATGTTGATTAGGTGGAACCCACTTTCTTATATTTTTTTTTCTTTTAATTTTATATATATAGATAGTCCAAAAACGCAAATTAACCAAATATAATTTATATATATAAATTTGTTTTTATGTAAAATTAAATTTATTGAGGTTTTAAGTTTTAACTACCCATTTTCTTTATTCATTACAAGGTAGAATATGATAAAATAATACTGACGACTACTAGGAAACTATTTTCCTGAATTTACTAATTTGGTAAAAAATATTTTGTGTAACACTTCTCTAGACTCAGTAAATTGGTGAAAATATTTATGATCGAAAGTACTCGAACTCGATGCCTCCTACTCTTTACAGAGACAATAAGAATAACTAGACCACATTTGATTAACATATGAATAGCTTTATTAATTTAAAATTTGTAAGAGAAATTAAACATTTATCTTATATTAAATCTAAATTTCTTTTATTTATTTCTCACATGATGAATTTAAAATTATTTAATTTTTATTCATAATACATTTAATTATTTATCATCTTAAAATAATTATTTTTTATTTAGTATTACTAATTCTGCATACATAAATCTATTTTCTACTTTGAGAAAAAATAATTAAAACAAATTAC